TTTTTTTTTTTTTTTTTTTTTAAGTTGGAGTCTCACTGTTACCCAGGCTGGAGTACAGTGGCATACTTACGGCCACCTCAGCATTGACCTGCTGGGCTCCGGTGATCCCTCCGCCTCAGCCTTCAAAGTAGCCAGAACTACAGGCACGTGCTACCATGCCCAGCTAATTTTTTTTATTTATTGTAGCGACAAGGTCTCACCAAGTTGCCTGGGCTGGTCTCAAACCCATGGGCTCAAACAATACACTCGCTTCAGCCTCCCAAGTGCTGGGATTACAGGCTTAGCCACCGAGCCCAGCCGAAAAGTGTTTCTTAAACATAGTCAATTACAAAAGTGAGGATTCCATAGGCACCAGGACTCCATTGGACAAGCTTTGGGAAGTGCTGCTCCAGAGTGAGCCCATATGGATCCTTTCTGAGGCAGGAAGATTGCCTGAACCCAGGAGTTTGAGATCGGCCTGGGCAACATAGTGAGACCCTGCCTCAAGAAACAAACACAGAAAACTGCAGTGTTGATCAAACCAGTTTGTCATTCTGTACTCTCCTGTCTGTACCTCAGCAGGGGTTGGTGGTATTTTTCCACTAGCTGGTCAAAGCTCCTGGAAGAATACCCTGCCAGGAAAAAGTTTACTGGAGTTAGAAGGTATTTTAGTGCCAAGCCCCTGAACTCAGCAGCTAGAGAAGAGGTGGTCTTGCTGTTGTGAGGCAGGGGAGAACCACAGCCCTTCCAGCTACTCTGGTTCCCTGAGGCTGCTGGACCACCATCAACCTCCCTGGGTGCCAAGGGGGGCCCTAAACTAACTACTTTCCTGGTTTCTGGAGAGGGAACCTCCTCACCTGTAGACTTTAAGTGCACTGAAAATCCCAAGGGGGCGGTCAATATAGTCACCCTCTTCTGGGACTCACAGAAAGGAACTGCCCCATTCCATTCTTTGCTGCAGAGGTCTGGGAACAGCTGCTTCTTGATCTGCAAAGGATGGTGGGAGGGCAGCTTCTGAAGGTCCTCAGGCCAGGGAGAAAGTTTCCCTTTCTTAGCCTTCTTGGAGTCTCTGTCAGCTTGAGACCGATCAGCACTTTGCTCAGGGGATTCAAACACAACCCCCTGGGTTCGTGGCCTCTTTAGCCTCCTTTTTAGCAGCCGGAGAAGGCTCAGTTTTCTAGAGGAAGAACTCATGTGTCGTTGCACAGAGTCTGGAATCAGGGGCACAAAGAGCCTGGGGCTCAGGCAGTCTTGAAAGTAGCCTCCACAGGGCTGTCGACCAACAATGGGCACCACCTGGCAAGGCTTCAGTGCTGCCACAAAGGCACGGAGCTCAGAGTAGGAAGAATGGTCAGAGTAAGGGATGACATGGATGCCGGGGTGGGAGCGGTGGATTTTCCGGGCCGTGGGAAGGATGGCAATGGTAGGGCGGGTCTGGTTCCAGTACACCATGGTGGAACGGCAAACCTCCATGTGGTCCACGGCATGAATGCGGCCAGCCTCCTCCTCCACCGTGAACACATCTGCCAGGCCCAGCAGCTGCACCAGCTCCAGGCGCCGAGGACTCAATACCACCCAGGTCCGAAACTCCAGGGCCAGCTGTTCCAGCAGCAATTCCTTCCCCAGGCTATAGAGTCCTGAACAATGTTGAAAGGATTGCGGAAGGCCATAGAATAAAGTTATTAGAGAATCCTAAAAGATCAGCCAAATGTTTTACAAAAATACTTAAAATTCATGGAGTAATCCAGGGAGGAGGTGGCACTTAAGTTGAGAAATATGGATAAAGGAGGAGAGGCACAGAAAATCCACTCATTCATTCAGTTCAGCGGAAGAAAACATCTACCACATATTAGGCACTATGAAAATTGACAAACAAAAAGATCTCAGCCTTCAAGGAGTGCAATCTACATGGAGACCCAGAAAAAACACAGTTTAAGGCAATGCTAGAGATACGATACAGTGTGTTAAGGGCACAGAAGATGAGTATCTACCAGTTGTTAGAGAGGAAAAGTTTCCTGAAAATGATAACTGGACTAAATTTTAAAGAATGGCAAGGAGAGGGTATAGTGGAAAACATGTTTTTTTGGTTGTTTTTTGGGGGTTTTTTTTGAGTTGGAGTCTCACTCGGTTGCCCAGACTGGAGTGCAGTGGCTG